GGCGATCTTCATAGCTTGGTCTTCGTGCTCCAAAAGGGATACGAGTAGCCCGAGGCTGTACTGATTCGACGAGATTTCTATCGCGCAGAAGCACAGTGTCCCATACCGGGCCAGCGAATTCAAGAATTGGCCTCACGAATGCCTTGTAAATGTAGGCGCAAGTGTTGACATCGGATCCTTTGAAAGACCTCTCCAGCATGTATAGAAGTTTCTTGGCTTTTGATGTAACGTGGTGAATATGGTCTGACCAGGAAAGACGATCGTTGACTACTACGCCCAGATCAGTGTGGCTGGAAACTGCTTCGATGTTGTGGTCAGAGATCTTGTATGTAAATCGCGGATTTGTCTTCCCGAGGTGAAGGACACAACACTTAGTTAGATTTAATGGTAAAAGCCAACTGACTGACCATTGACAAACAATATCAAGATCTCGTTGAAGCATAGCAGAATTTACGACAGTATTGTAAATGTTGGTGTCGTCGGCATAAGCTGAACATGTGGAGGAAATCAATGCGAGCAGGTCACTTGTATACAGAAGAAACAGCACTGGCCCCAAGACAGATCCTTGAGGAACTCCACTTGCTACATGATGAAGGTGAGGCTGGCTATCACTGACGCGCACAGGGAAAGTCCTCCCGGTGAGAAAAGCCTTAATCCACAGTAACAACTCGCCACTTATTCCCATACATTCCAACTTAAACAGAAGCCTTCTATGTGGTACGCGATCGAAAGCCCTAGACAAATCTAAGTAGATTATATCAACAGGAGTCTTTGTGTCCAGATACTGAGTCCAATCGTTGAGAGAGTGGAGAAGGTTGGTCATTATTGATCGACCAGGGAGAAATCCATGCTGATTCTTAGGGATAAGGTCATTTTCGGAAGCAAATAACAGGAGCTTATCTAATATGATTCTTTCAGCTATTTTGGCGGCGATAGGAACGAGACTTATTGGTCGATAATATTTAGCGGAGGATTTGTCGCCCTTTTTGAATACAGGGGTAACAGAAGCACTAAGCCAGCATGAGGGTAGGGTATGAGATCTAAAAGACGATGTGAATATCAAGCTTAATGGTAGGGCCAGTGCTGAAGCGCAGTTTTTAAGTACAGCAGCCGTCATCCCATCTTTACCAGGGGAGGAAGAGGTCTTCAGATTTCGCAGGTGCATTAATACATCTTCAGGCAGGAACTCAACTTTGCAAAGGCTGTTGGGACACCTATGGCAGATAGTGGTCGGTAGAAGGTCTCCATTAGGCTCATCGACGATGTCATCACTAAAGGACTCTGCCAGTAAGTTGGCAGATTCGGTGGCATCCATATGGAGATGACCGTCAGCGTCGCGGATCTGAGGTGATGAAACTTTGGAATTCAGGTTTGTTCTTAGATACCGAAACAGCTTCTTCTTATTTTTGGAGGTAACGAGTTTTCGTTCATAAGCATGTTTGGCATTATGTAACCTTCTAGATAGGAGGTTAGAAAAGGATCGATGAGACACGTAATCTTGTGAATGGCCACTCCTCCTAAACCGTTGCCACAAAGATCTCTTGTGACGAAGCATCCTCGATATGTTAGAGTTGATCCAGGGCTTTGAGGAGTCACAGTATACCTTCTTTTCAACAGTATTGTCAGCCGTTTCGCTTAGGACTCGTTGAGCGAAAGTGTCCCACACATCTTGGGTTCTACGGTTGTTAAGCAAAGCAGGCCAGTTGACTTCAGACAGGGCTTGGTTAAGAGCATCGTGGTTTACAATTTTGATGGTTTTAAACTTATCGGTTGTAGAACGACTATTTACGAGTATATTGAACTGGAGAGAAGATAAAAGTGAACAGTGGTCAGACTTGCCAAAAGGTGGCAAATAATCTAAATTAGAAACAAAGTCAGCGTCGTTAACGAATATCAAATCCAGAGCCCTAGGCGTCTGTCCTTCCCTGAATCTCGTTGGACGATCAACAAGTTGAGATATGCTAGAGTTATGTAATGAAATGTTTGAAAAAAGGCCCAAATTTGTCACCATGCATATTTCTACATTATTAAGTAGCCTTACTTGGGTAGATTTAATGATAAAAAGTTGTGACCACTTTTTTCGAATAGAGTTCTTGCTATCATTTCCAAAAAATATATTCCACATTTAGACTTAAAATCAGATCTTCCTTGCAGACAATGATTTTTTTTCTCACAAAAAGGCTCATCTTAACACAAGACAGTCATTCATTATGAAATTGTTGTAACACATTCCAAGTGGTTCTGTTGATTTAGAAATGTTTGATCTTAAGTCCAGACCTTTTCACAACTACATTGTTCCAAAAACTTGGGTAACACGATTAGCCTATTGTGTTTAAATTGAACGACCATATATCACTGATATTTAATTAAACCTTGCGGATCAAGACCGCTGGCGCCCTAATAGTTGAATATGAACAGGCGGACCGATCAATTGGCCAGCGAGATCTCAAGATCTGACGCATCTCGACTACTTTCTCTGGGGCCATGTAAAAGACGAGGCTTACCATAAGAAACCAACATCGCCCGACAAATAAATGATCGATAAGCGAGTCGTTCAAGCGGATACCTAGAGCTAAAAGCTATTGTTTTGGTAGAAGACTTAATTTCATGCAAAAATACAATTACCGATGCAAAAATATACAGGGTATTCCATTTGTTATTTTTGGGAAAAGGTACATCTTGCGTTTTGAGATACCCTGTATAAATAGAAAAACACTTCAGCACTTTTACCAGATCAGCTTAAAATCGATGGCAATAAAATTTTTGTGAACCAAAATTTATCCATTATATCTTCTAAAATGGCGGAGCTGCGAAAAGTCAAAGCTGCGCATTTTTTCCGACGTTCGACCAAGTACCTAAACAATCAAAACAAAAAGTTATACCTTGTTTCTAGAAGCTCTATTCAAATATGTAATAAAATATAGGCTGTTTTATTAAAAAAATGCTCATAAATCCACTTTCCATCTTCGCAGAGACATAATCAATAGTTAATAGGTAAACGACGGCTTGCGTTGCAGTATTTTCAGATAAGGCAATCAAGTTGTGGCGGGGCACCCTGTACATAAACAACTTTAATAGGTAAACCACCCCTCGCGTTGCATTGTTTCCAGACCGGACTCGAAACGGCGTGAAGCGAAACAACCGCAATATTTCAGACCCAACTCTGGCCCGACGTGCCATGACGGTTTTCCTCTCGATTTTTCTTTTAATTAACTGAGCACATACCCGGATTACGCGGAAACTCCCTCCCTGCAGCCCCTTCAGCCAGAACCCTTTTTGGTTTTTAAGCGTTGGCCTACACTTGCCGGAAAATTGAATAAAAAGGTAAACGAGTTTAAATCCGTTTTCATGGCAACTTGAAGGCGAAATGCTTGTAGAAACATCTTACAGACAATATAACAATGGCACTTGAGAACCAAACAACAGTAGCTTTCATACTTCTTGACTTTACTAAAGCATTTGACACCATTAATCACTCTTGTGTCTAAATGAAGTTATTATGGATTTTCTGAAAAACCTCTTTCGTTTATACAAACCTACCTTGAAAATCGGTATCAAAAAGTTCGTCTAAGTCAACAGTACTCTACCGAATAAAAAATTTGTTCTGGTGTACCACAGGGATCAGTCTTAGGACCCCTATTATTTTCATTATATATCTCAGATTTAGAAACAGAGGTAAAATCATGCAGCATACAATTTTTGGCAGACGATACTCAAATTTTCTATTCACTTAGGAGTAATGACTTGGAAACAGCAAATAATAAAATTAATCAAGATCTTGCCCAAATTGAAAAGTTCAGTAGTAGTCATAATCTTCGTATGAACCCTTTGAAGACAAATATGTTGGTATACGCAAATAGAACAAAAAATAATACTTTAAGAAAGGAAATAGGTAATAAATTAGTTCCTATGGATCATTCGAAGAGCCTAGGTATTATAATGGATGATGACTTTGTTGTACACGTAAACTATCTAATTTCTCAGTGCTACGCGATTCTCAGAGTTTTATTTGCAAAAAAGGCTTTACATAAATCTGCGAGAAAGCAATTGTGTGAATCTTTCTTGTTTTCAAAGATATCGTATTGCTTAGTGGTTTACTATTTCGGTGCTTCTCCAAGGGCAGCTGCTAAAACTTCAAACTGGAAGTCCTACATGGCGCAACGCTCAGCTACCACAACCACATATATTTCGAGGTTGTGTGGCAAGGTACTGGCCAGAAATTGGGCGACAGCAGACCGCTCTTCGATGCGAAGGCTTTCGAAGAGAACCTAAGGCACTCCAACTGCAAAAGGAATATGAACGTGAAACAGCTCATGTCTGTTTTGGAAGATGTCACGAAGAAGAGCACTATCTGGATTAGGAGGGAAAGAAGGAGAATACCCTACTGGTGGACAGTGAAAATCGAGCATCAGAGAAGAACATGTCTTGAATACAAGAGAAAAGTCACCAGAGGACGAGCTAGGCTAAGTATGAGTGAGAGTGAATGGAGAGGCGTAAATGAGTTGTACAAAATGGCGTGGAAGGAGCTAAAAAAACGAATTGCTGCATCAAAGAGGGGTCATTGGAAGAAGCTGTGTGAAGAACTTGAGGACAACGTTTGGGGATCTGCTTACCATATTGTTATGAAGCAAATAAAGGGTTATACTCTCCCTTTCGACCTATCCGCAGCGAAAAAAGCAGAAATAATCGATCACCTCCTCCCCAAGTCAACCGATACCTGGCTGAAGGGACAGAAAACCGCCGAAGGTATTGCACCGTTTACCCTGGAGGAGATACAAGAGGCAGCATTGGAAATCAAGATTGGAAAGGCTCTTGGACCTGACGGTATACCACCGGAGGCACTGAAGATAGCGTTGGAGGTTTTGCCGGAGACGATACTAGGCGTGCTGAACCAGCTACTGAGTTCGCAAGACTTCCCCAAGATCTGAAAGATTGCCTCAGTGACTCTTATACGGAAGGGAAAACCCGTGGAACTACCTTCCTCGCACAGACCTATCTGTATGCTGAGCGTAGTGTTAAAGTTCTTCGAAAGACTAATTAAACTTAGAATCGAAGAGGAGCTCAAATCGAAAGTTGACCTGTCAAACGAGCAGTATGGATTTAGGAAGGTCAGATCAACCGTCCTGGCAATTAAAGCAGTCGCGGATAATATATCGGAGACGGAAAGCAAGTGGTGCGCACTGATCACTGTTGACGTAGAAAATGCCTTTAACTCGGCTACTTGGACCCTAATTATTAAGGAACTCCGACCTAGGGAAATTTAAGCATACCTGATAAACTTGGTGGAGAGCTACTTCCAGGACAGAAAGCTTCTCCTAACGAAGAGAGAAACGAGGGACATCTGCGCGGGAGTTCCTCAAGGCTCAGTCCTTGGGCCTCTTCTGTGGAATGTGCTTTATGATGGAGTTCTGGGTCTTGCATTTCTACGGGGAATAAAATGCATTGCGTACGCTGACGATCTGGGGATCATAGCGGAGGCGAACTATTCCAAGGAGCTGGAAATCATCACGAACGAAGCGTTGACAAGAATCAGCAAGTGGATGGCAGCAAACAAGTTGCGACTTGCCCCACAGAAGACGGAAGCCGTGATACTGAAGGGATCCCGCAAGAAGAGCTCGGTGAATTTCCAATTCCTTGGCACGAAGATAGTGACAAAGACCTCACGTACCTGGGAGTCGTGTTAGATGGCAACTTAAAGTTTGGAGAGCACGTTCGTCCAGTCATCAGGAAGGTAGATGCTAGGATGGCCCAGCTATCAAGAATACTACCATATAGGAGGTCCAAGTAGCCCTAAAAGGACGGTCCTTTGTGAGGTAATCCACTCCGTGGTCCTGTACGCAGCTCCTGTATGGCACCGTGTGGTCCAAGTCCAGATATATAGACAAATGCTCTTGAGTATCCAGAGGAAGGCTTTGCTGCGGATATCGAGCGGCTACAGAACAATGTCCACTATGGCCGCTCAAGTAATAGCTGGAATACCCCCAGTCACTCTGCTCATAGAGGAAAGGCTCCGCCTGTACAGCAGGGATGATGCTAAGCTTCGTACTACCAGGTTGCTGGAAAGAAGCACAACTTTGGAGAAATGGCAGCGTGTGTGGAGCGACCACTCAGAGACGGCAATGTGGAGCAAGACTCTGATCCCGGACGTAAGACAGTGGGTTAGCTGTAAACATCGAAGGCTAGACTTCTACTTGACCCAGTTTCTATCGGGCCATGGATACTTTGGGCATTACACCAAAAGAATGGGAATCACGGAGGGCAGCATCTGCGGTTATTGCGGAGAGAAGGACTCCCCGGAGCACACAATCTTTGTGTGCCACATGGAGGAGCAATACAGAGTCAGTTATCGGTGCGGAGGTCAATAGCAGAAGCATCACCATACTCATGATGAAAAGTAAGGAGAACTGGAACACAATACAGAGGTTCGTTCGTAATGTGATGAACGCAAAGCGCAGGGACGACATCTTGCACTAGCAGAAGAAACGAGCACATCCGCTGCGAATGCATCTGAAGACATGCCGCAACAAGTGGTGCTACCGGATGTAGTCGCGAGCTAGAGGAGGTGGTTTAGTGGGTAGTCAGTCTACTAGAATGTAGCTGGAGTCCCACACTCCCATGCACGCTGGAACCACGGCGTATGGGGTCCGTAAAATGGATTCCACATCCCGGTCCCCCTAGGACCTCTAAAAAAAAACTATCCCTATTTAGATATTATAACAAGAAATCGTATTCAAAGTATTATGAATACAAGTTGCAGACTTGTAAATTGTCTCAGAAAGTATGATCATATATCGAATGCCAATAATGAACTCAAATGGATGAAAATTGATAAAATGTATAAGTACCAGCTAGTAAATCTGACTCATAAGGTTCTTTATTCAAAAACACCGCCATATTTAGTAAACAAATTCATACGTAGAGGGAATATGCATGGCATTAATATTAGATATAGAGAGACTTTTTCAATTCCACGCCACAGCACATCCCTATCTCAGAATACATATATTTACAATGCGATCAAATCATATAATTCTTTAGACCGCAGTTTAAAAGAAACTAATCCATTACCCAAATTCAAGAACAAAGCTACTTGATCAGCAGCGAAATCTTGTAACCCATAAGTGTCCTCATATTTTCCTTATGCCTTTACTTAGATTATACTTTATTCTGTCGTTATTGTATACAGGTATTAATTTTCAATAAATTCTGTTTTTTTACATCTCGGATTGTTAAGGGGGTTAGATGGTAGAATAGATATATTATCTAAACCTGGCCTAGTGTAAGAATATTACAAATAAAAGATGTTAATTATTATTATTATAAACAACGGGTCAAACACAAATCCGATCTGCGATGCGAGGGTACTTACGTTCTTGGTGTTACTTTATTGCATAATCTGTGAAATTGTAGGACCGCATTAGATTAAATTTGCAACATGTCACGAAAGACAAAACGTGGTACGAATTCAAAAATCTTTTTGCTCAACTAACAAATTTATAATTTTGATCGAGCGCGGTACCTTCTAATGTAGGGTTTTGATGAAAGCTTGTATACGTAACTGCATAGTCCGTGGCATTGAAAATACTGAGTCTGGACCTGTACATTAAGTTTTTCTACATTTTCACCATAATTTTGAATTGGACTGAAGAGTAAAATTCAGTGCATTTGGTTTCACTGCTTTTACCTAAAGCAAAAGCCATTTTGTTTTAAAAATCAGTTGTTAGAACCACAGCCATCACGGAAAAAAGTGAATAGGGTGCGCGGCATGAGTTTCGCCTTTTACTTATGTCATTTCTTGTTCTCTATTCTACGAAATAATAAATTCAGAGGCGTTGCACTTAATGGAATACAAAGGGGAAAAAACTGTGTCCGGCACTGGGATTTTTAGTATCCAAAATAACTTTTTTTATATTTTAAGCACCTTTCTGTAAAAATGTTAATGATATTAAGCTGGTAGCGTTTGAAATTTTGAGTTTTGTGTCGCATAAGCTGATAGAAATACGATCTTTGAAAAATAAAAATGTTTAAGTAAAACACCAAAAGAAGCTCAATCGATCAATCTTCAAATTAATAAGCCGCATGCCGCATTAACTGACTTTTTTATACATAGGCAAACATTTCAATACATCGCTTAAATTGTGTTGATGTTGATATAATACGAGAACATTACTTCTAGTTAACTTTGTTATTGTGCAAAATTTCATCAAAAACTGTTTGACAATGTCTGAGACATGTGATATTAACGATTTGGCCAGTTCAGATAAATTACTCTTTGTTGGGGCTGCATGCCCTTCCGTGTTTATGTTTGTTCAATTTTTCTTGTTTGCTACCAAGCGATAAGTGCAATGGCGTAGCAAGGGGTGGCGGTCCGCAACGGGTGTTACCTTGTTTGGGGTGACACCCACCCGGTGACTCAGCTTTAAGGACACTGTACAAACATAAAAAAATTTCACAGATTGTATTGCAAAGTAAAGGCTCAACTGTTGATGAAACTGCTACAAAAATAGAGGCACTTCGTCTTTATATCGAAGAAAAACGGGGTTACATTGTGGAAGCGGTATAGATATTGCTAAAAATTAGAAGACTGCGATGTTCCAACAAAAAGGCGTCTTCTTCGTAAAAAACGGGTAATTGATAAGATGACCAGTGGACGCAGGACTCACACTGAAAGAGGAACTTCAAAAAAATATGCTGGAAAGTCCTAACCGATTCAGAGTTGAACTCCAGACAAGATCGAAGTCTCTTCAAGACCTATCGTCATTGTTCGAAGATCGTACACAGAAAGACTGCTTTTGGCGAGTACTGAGGAACTGGAATTAGCTACATCCGAATTTACTGATTTTTATGATGGTGTCTCATTAACAGAATTACTTTTGAAGATACCAAGACTGCGAAGACACTTAAAAATCGCTAATGTTACAGTTTCTGATTTGGTATCTCTAGTTTATTTAAAGTTCATGTGAAACGAGCTTCAGTATACTAAAAATAATAAAAAACTATTTGCGGGCAACAATGGCCCAATCGCGGCTTAGCAATATTGGCACATGAGCCATCGAACACGAGGCAATATGAAATATAAATTTTTATGAAGTTATTTGTGACTTTCTATCTGCCAAGCAAGAAAGAATTTAATTGTAAGAAAAAATATTTTTTCGGTCTTAGTTTTTATTGCGTTTTGTTATTTGTTCAATATTTTAAATATAGATACATATTTAATGATCCATGACGTTCATAAAAGAAGGTTATTTGTCGAATGTGGTGGTCATAGGTCGAGTTACTATCGGGCCACGTCCGGGGTACCTCAAGGGTCAAATCTAGGTCCATTATTGTTTTTGATATTTATTAATGACTTGTCTCTAGAACTGAAGTGTTTCCATTTGTTTTTCGCTGATGACCTTAAAATCTGCACGTCAGTCAAGACAGTCGAGGATTGCGTCATGTTACAAGATGACTTAGCTCTAATTTCGTCATGGTGTTCACCAAACTGTCTCAGTCTGAATGTTTCGAAATGTAAAGTTATGACTTATGCAAGAAAATTTAACTATTTAATTTATGATAATTATAACATCAATGGTGACGTTATAGACAGATGCACCTCTTATAGAGACCTTAGAGTCACTTTTGATACCAAGCTAAGGTTTACTGAGCATATACTTAGTATCTCGTCGGCTGCCACTCGACTACTTGGTTTCTGTACCAGAAACTCAAAGGGTTTCTCCAATGTTGATACATTAATGACTTTATTTTTTACTTTTGTCAGAAGCAAGTTGGAGTATGCGACTCTGATCTGGTCTCCTATATACCAAAATCCTGTCGTGATCCTTGAGGCCATTCAACGTAAAGCTTTAAAGTATTTTCACCTTAAATGCACAGGTTCTTATCCAGAAAGAGGTTGTGCCCTTAGTGCCCTATTAGAGTTTTTCAATTTGGATCCACTGTCAACAAGACGAAACATATTTGCTTTGTCTTTTTTGTATGGCCTGATTCACAATAAAATTGACTGTCAAAATTTACTTGAAAAAATATGTTTCCGCGTCCCAAGGCTAGGGAGCCGACAACAAACGGCATTCTATTGTCAATCTGGCCGTACAAATGTTATGACAAAATCGGCAATTAATCTCATGTGCTGCGTCATGAATCGTGTGATATTTACAGTGACAGTTGTGCATCGATTATTAACTGCTATAGATCATCCAATCTTATTTAGAATGTGTGATACTATAGATTTAAGTCCAAGAACCATGTCTCTGTAATTGTTATTTTTTTCAGCATTTCCTGTAATTGGGTTTCACCTGTTGGAAATAAATAAATAAATAAATAAATAAATAAATAAATCATACAAAATTTATAGCTTTTGACTTTCGATGTGGTGACATCGCCAACTTCCGCACTGGGTGCCATCCAGCTACGCCACTGGATAAGTGTCCCATTTTTACTTAACATTTCGTACGCTATACGCATGGCAAATCCTCTTGATCCCGCCGACGCTACGAGACTGCTGCTGGCGTGCTCAGTTTTGTGACAGAATCGCAAAGTGTCATAGAAACTATCAATGGGTAACATGGAAACTAACGCTTAACGTGTTTGCTAGTACGCGTTTGTAGTGCTCGGTATCTAGCTCCAGGAGGTTGTTTGAACGCCTAAGGGCTATATCCCCAGAGCATCCAACAGCATGAAGATAAGAGAACCCAGCTCAAAAACCGGTTGCCGTTTTTTTTCTTTCTTTATAAATGTATCACTTAACGCTTCGCATCCCCTCTTCAAAAGAGTTGAACCTCAATCCACTTATCTATCGTATTGTTCGTCAACTGATGGTCTGGCGTCTCATCTTACGAACGCGCGCCTAGCATTCAACACTTTTTATATCCGTAAAAGACTTTTTCGTTTTCAGATATCAAAAAGTTTCAGTTATACTATCTACCATTTTACTATGACCATTTTCTCTCTTAACACCCTGTAGCTCGCTTGATAAGGTCGTTATTGATCTGGTAAGTTACAAGTGTTGTGAAGTGAATTAATTCTTAATCTGCTTAAATAATATGTCATCTTCCAATAGCATACTGATATTCAAGAATTTCCTTTTACATATGCTGTTTTTAACAGTTGAAGGGTCGGCCGGAACAACGTTGTATATAACATTTTTCTATAAAATGAGATTTCCGTAAAACAACGTAGTATGTGCCTATTGGGACCCGTTGACAACATAGACCCACCTGTTTACTCGCATCAATCACTGTGACGCGAATTTGTAAATCGCGCCATTTCAGTCCTCCCCGTAACAACGTTGTATGTACGTAAACAAATAAGAATATCTATGGTTTATGAACCATTCCAGTGA